CTCTTCTGAGGTTACACAAACCACCACAAAGACAAAGAAGGGAACTACCTTTTGCTAGGCCCCCACCATGTGCTTCCTTTGTTGTATCATTTGTGTTATTTAACCCACCTTCAGTTCCAACAAAATTTTTGGGTCTTTTGTTTAGAAACTAACCACAGAAGATAATAGTCTGATCCTCAAAGATCTCAGTGAGTTAAATGTCACCTTATTTAATAACAGGGATTAAAATCTAGTCCAATTATGTGTTAGGAGTGTCCAACTATGAGTCCAGAATGACTGGCTTATGATTTTTCAACTTAGGTACAGCTTAGATTTTTTTGAAAGACAGAAATTACAATTTAACCAAAATAAATAAATAAATAAATAAATAAATAAATAAATAAATNTCTGTTCCCCTTCCCCCAATTCCCCAGTGCTATTCCCATCCCCCAACTCCCCAATAAAAAAAAAAAAAAAAGAAAAATGACAAAGGTCTCTAGGATAAATCAAAGCAACTGGACCAGGTGAGCTCAACTATGACCAAGAGTATTGGGCAGAGCAGAGTTCTTTAAAATATGGTGTGTGTACAACAGGCAAGCCATAGGGTTGAAGGGAGAAAAATTAGAATGTCCATCCTATTTCCTAGTTGCTTTATCTTAACCCCCCAAAATATAAGTTGCATTTTCTAAATATTTAATGTTTGTGTTCAGTGTTCAGTAACACTGTAAGGGGTATACAATTTTTATAGTGTGGAGCCACAGATTTAGAGGGCAAGCTGGAGTCACAGATGTACTAGAAGCTCTTCTTCAAGACAGGTGTGGCCAGAACTATGCCGGTCAGTACTAGAAGAGCTTCCTAATCCAACAAACAAACTCCCCTATAAAAAAGAGTCATCTCACTCACTACATGGTCTATAAAATAGTGGGGTAAAAATAATCATATGAGCTTCCTGGCATGTGTCCACTTCCTCTTCCACTGCTGACTAGCCATGCAATCTTCAGCAAGCTTCTCAGACTCTCTGTAGCCTCATGAAATAAACACCTTAGTCATGGAGAAGTCTGCTTTGAAGACAAAATGAGATCATTGATTAAAGTTGATTCCCATTTTATCTAAAAGCCTTTACAAATGCTCATCTTATTTGAAACTGTTTTCCCAAATTCTAAATTTTACCCACTGGCATATTTCAGCTTATAATTTTAAAGGAGAATGGTTACCATTGTATAACTATTTCATTAATACAAAGAAAACTAATACATCACAAATTAAAATTCATTTGCACACAAAGGAATCAGAAGTCATTTAATTCTCATTATCATAAAAACATGAATGGGTTCTGCTGTGCACATACAATTCTTGTAAGTCCTGCTGTTCNGTTTTAAAACTATAGAACAAGATATAATATAAATAGATACTAATTAATAATGACTACAGGTAAATGTCTCTTGCTTTTTCTCTTTCTTATATTGGATAACCTTGGATGAAATACTTTTTATGCATTCTTAGCAGCATAAATAAAATAGTGCAAATGGGCACATGAACCTATTCTATTGAATAAATATTCACACACACACACCCTGCCTCTTTTGAAGCTTTTTCTATCAAAAGCCACTGAGCATGTACAACAGAAAATGTATGGGGCAACAGAAATCGTATTATCAAAGAGGCTATAATCTGATTTCTTAAATGAGGAAAACCTGCAAAGAACATATTTGTAAAATAATGATGCTTCCATAGTTCCAAGTTCCCCTTGCTCAACAGCAGTAAATGCTACAAAATGTCTATTGCTCATGTTTAGTGTCTCGTTTTACTGTAAAACAGTGAGTATCTCAATATGAATTCTACATTAAAATTCGATGCATGTCACTTACAGAAGCCTCTCTCATTGGGATAAAGAGAGAGAACTTAACACCATGAACAGATGAGGCAAAGCCAAAGTGTATCATCAATTGCAGGATGAAGAACTTTACAGTTTGCATATTTAAAGATAAGATTCAATGATGTTCAAAGTGAGAGGGAAATGAGTTTTAAAGAAAATTATTAAGTGCACTNAGATTCTTAATATGTTTTGACACAACAAAATCTAGACATATATTGGAAGAACTAGCCCTTGAATGGACAGAAAATCTGTCACTGATAGAACGAATATATTTCAGCATGCAAGTGACTTTAGGAAGATAGTTGAAAAGCCATCTTAAAAAAAGTGATGGATGAAGGTTTGCATTGAAGAGTACACCCTGATTCATGTAAAAATATTTGTTTATTTTTACCTTTCTAAAGAAATTTGCCATTGGCAATCCCTGCATGTGGATATTTCTAGAGTCTACCAGCCTGTCTGAGTTACTTACAGGGTTTAAAATATTTTGTCTTATTCCACATGGCATTGTGATTCATGAATAATATTAGCTAAACCCAGTTAATCGAGGTATGGCTTGAACATTTTCAATTTAAAAAATATTACACAGCAACAAAGAACAAGTTTAACATTAACATTCAATTCTAACAAATGGAAAGGAGTTTTTTCATGGTTTCTTCAAATTAAGACATTAAAAACTTCATAAAGGCTATGTATTATCACAATTTAGTTCCTTCTGTATTATTGGGTTGTCAGGAAAGTCATGATGCATTTTTGCACTGAAAAACACAGAAAAATACGTCATGACTTTCCCGAGGACCCAATATAAAGGCCAGATCTCTCGTATGGGGTTTCAGATTTCTTTTTCAAATAGTATTTTAAAATTTGAGGATTTATCAGTTGTCCTCTTAAATTGGGGGTCAAAATTATAGGCTATATGGGCCCATATCCATGAAATGAATTATACTTTGAAGTATTCATTCATTCAACAAATATTTATTGAATGCCTACCATGTGTCAGGTGTTGTGACAGGTATTTAGTTAAGGACTACACAAAAATTGAGAAAGTAAAAAAGACAGATATGATCCCATCTCTGCTGGAACAAACAATCTAGCATGAAAACACAATTTCCAATATAGCATGATAATGCTACAGTGAGAGGATTAGAGAAGACAGTAGTAGTATACAGGAGAGAACTCAAGCCAGGTTTGTGTGGGATGGAGCTGGTAGAAAAGCCTAATTAACATTCTAAGTTCTGGCTTACCTTGGATCCACCCAGAGGAACGTATATCCGAATTCTAGCTGAATGATTTAACCAAAGGAAGGCTGAGGATGCTGTGAGTGGAGGTACTTTTTCCATCCTTTCCCTTTAGGAAGAGGACATTTTTGAAGAAATGGGAAGAGAGTGATAGTGTTTGGTTTAAGAAAGTGAAGCAATTTAAAGAGTCTGGTAAGAGATTAAATGGGACCAAATCATGCAAAGGCATTTAGGTTATAGGAAAGAATCTGTACTTCATCCTGAGGCTGACAGTAAGCAATTGAATGGTCTTAAAAGGGAGTAAGAGAATCGTATTTGCATTTGGAACAAAAATCACACTGGTTACCAGATTTTTAGAGAGTGAGGCCAGAAACCGGGAAGTCGGTTAGGAGGCTTCAGCAAAAACTCACAGGAAAGAGGATTTTAGCATGAATCATGGGAGTGGCAGTGGGGATGGTAAGAAGTGAAATGATTTTAGAGTAGCTGAACCCTTTTTTCAGTTGTTGAAATAACCAGTACTTACTAAACTATTAGTAATTTCGTGGCTGTGTGGAGTTGGTGACAGTGAGGTTGGCAGGAAGATAACAGGAGAGAAAAGGTGGCCTGGAGGACCTTGGGAAGCATCAGCTAGGAGGATGGGAGAAAACAAAGTATGGCATCATGCAAACCAAATAAAAAGAATGGTTTATGAAAGAGTTATGTCTTAACTGTATGAACACTGTGTTACCCACTCGTATGTCATCACTATTTATCATGTTATGTGATGCTTCAACGGTGTTTCATGAATATACACTTGTTAAATGAATGGTTTGATTTAGTAAGCACTACTACATACAAGAAAAACATCAGGCTGGGTTCTGGGAGGATAAATATATTTCAAAATCAAAACACTCATGGAATAGTAAAAGAAGGAAGACCTACATAATTACCCATAAAGTATGGTATCTAATAAAAGAGCTCAATACAGCTCCAGATCAACAGAGATCTAGAGAGAATGCTGGGGGGAAAGTAAAGAAAAAAGTGAATATTACTAACTGCGAGAACAGGAACAGTAAGGCCTAGAGAAGAAAAGACTGAGAAGGGACTATTGGAAATTTCAGGTGACTTAGTGAGAAGTTTCAGATGTGGCAAATCTGGTTTGATGAAGAGTGATATTTCCTATTTTAATAGTTCTCATGATTTCCAGAAATACAATGAATTACTACAGTTTTGAAACTCATGAATAGAGCACAAATGCCAGTAAGAACTCATGTCTTCCAAATAAAATGAACTTATTATGAAATTAAGCTGCCTGACTTTTATTTATCACAGAGGACATTAACAAATTTGTGCACACTTAACCATACTCCACAAATAAGTGCATTTCAAGAAGACTTTTTAAAAGGCATAGACTGTAACCTGACTTCATTTGCAAATGATAAACAGGCTCTGCAGTGTCTCTGCTTTCCTTCTATATGCTAGCTCTCTTATGAGAATGTAATCAAATTGCTCCATTGCTTAGCAACCACAGGAAAAGAGCAATAAGTCATGATTCATGATTCTATGGGAACAATCTGCAGGTCAGTGGCATGATTTCAAGGTGGTTTGGATTCCTGCTGTGACACTTTCAAACCAACATTGACTCAAGCATTAGCATAGATGAGAGTTAAAATGCAAATGTTCTCATAATCAATCAAATTGACCTATACATAGTGTGATCTGGTACAGTCTGCTGCGTCAATCTAACAGTAGCATCTATAAATCAACATCAGAGCAAAAATAACAGAGACGTGGCTTCACAAGGAATTTCTTTTACCAGTTTCGTTGAGCCGAAGAGGGAGGCACATTTAAATCAGACATTCACATAAACAACAGGAAATCGTCTAAGGAAGAGGTGCAGTGGGTGGTGAAAGAGTTTTTGAAAATGTTACCTGTAACCACTGCGACTGGTCATTGTGGCCGGAGGTCCAGGCATTCACTTTGCCCTGCTTGTCCAGCCGAGCTTTCCTCGGCTCCCAAGTGAACATGTCCATATTGAGAGTTCTGAAGATGCTGGAGGCAGTAATCTGATAGTCTTGGATATGTCCTGATTTCATCCCCAGAGGCTCAGAACAGCCTGAAAGAAAACGAGAAGAGCTCCATGAGAAAAAGAACCTATCGCCTGGGAAGTTTTTTTCCTTCCTTTCGGATAGGCAAGATAAGATTAAGATTCCCCCCAAAGAGAGTATCTAAATTCAAAAAAGGCTGTAATCAGAAACAAATCTGGAACAAAATAAAAAAAAAACCAAAATAGCCAATTCAGACTATTTTGCCTGAACGTATTTTGTAAAAATTGAAAACAAGACAGACAATTCAAACTGCTTTTTTGTGATAGATGATTTTGCAAAATGAAACAATGCTGAAATGCTCTCTTCTGTCTGATTAGGGATAGCCTCATCACCATTCTAGTTTACAACAGTTTCATCGTCTCTTTAAAAATGGAACAATTTCTCACAAAGTATATTTGGTTTTCTTTGATTTGTTTCCATAATACTGCAAATGAAGATTCCCTCATTTTCACAAACTGCTCCAATGGTATGTTCTAAACTGGACAGCTTTGTGTTTTCCAAGAAATATGTGTTCATCTTTATCACTGACTCATAGAGCACCAGTGTGACTTCTTGTGGAAAGAATGAAGCTAATCTTTATTCAATGTATACTATGTGACAGCCATAGCAAAATGTAGGATTTAAACTAATAGATAATAGAAGAAAATAAGCTAATCCTAGCAAAAGCCATTACTCGACAAGCCTTTTTATATATTCTTATATTTCAATCATACTCAATAACTTCTAGTACTGGATATTTTTGGAAGATTCTCAAATCTGCTACATATGTTTTCAGGTTTGACATGGTGCAAAATTTGATTTTGTCTATACTTGAAAAATTGTGTGTGTGTATGTGTGTGTGTACACTTGATTTCCCAATCTTGAAGAAGTACAACTATGACAAAATTCCATTTAGAAAGTCTGTGATAGGAACATGATTCTGTTATCATATTTGCCAGTGGTTGAGTCTTCTATGTGTAAAACTGTAACACTTTGGCCAAGGAACACACGAGATAAGTTTGATTATGGAGAAAGCCAAGATAAAAGAGGAGACTTCTCCAGTTGATGCCATCTCCTCATGCTCTACTGGTCCCCCACTTACTAGCTGTGTCGTCTTGCACCCATTATTTAGCCACATTACATCTCGGTTTTCTCATCGGTAAAATGGTGATAATAATAGACACTATCTTAAAGAACTGTTGTAAGAAATTAGTAATAAATATAAATAGAAACAGTGCTGGCCTATAGCTAGCAATCAGTAAATGTTAGCTATTTTTAGTATTTCTGTTAAGCTCAATGTTAAGATCCCAAATCAGCACATCAGGGAGTACTAAATAAGACCTTATGACTGGCTGCTGCTTCAACAACTAAGCCATTTTAAGTCAAGACTCTAAGAGAAGTGGTTCAGAATTCTTCATTGATAAATATTGTAATTCTGAACCACAATTAATTGCCTTCTGTCTTAGTCAATCTAGATTTCTTCTTCCTTCTTAAGGCTCCTCCATGTCTGCCTTCACTTCCCACCTTCTAGGAAATGCCTATCCTCTACAAACATGATAAAAACAGACACAGAGGGTTGGCCAATTTGGTCTTAGCACAAGACTTTTGGGTTTCAGATGTAGGAGACACATTCTCAAAGTCCCATGATAAAAAGAACTCTCAATCCTAAATACAAATTCTGGAGGAGAAAAACTTCATGAAAAATCTCACAGATTGTAGACAGTTCTAAAGTCTTCATGACATGCCATTTATCTTCAGGCAGTTATACAGTAACATGCATTGTCTACATTTATGAATAGATTTCTGACTAGTTTTTCTATTATTACCACCAAGCCCCCACCCACTCCTTGCCCTGCTACTGGAGTCTTTGTAAAACTTTTCTTGGTTTAGAGAAGAGATTCAAGTGGAAAAGAAGTAGTTCTTTTTCTCCTTTTGTGATATGACAGTATTTTAAATATTGCATAGAAAAGGGATGTCTTTACTTTGACCATTTCTGCTTAGTCACAGAATTAATTTCATACCCACTCTATTGTCGAGTACTTATCACAGAGGAAGTGCAGAATAATTTGTTCAAAAACTAAATGAATGATTATTTCTCTAATGATGGCCATGATCCATTTCATTCTAAATATCTTAAATCATATTTATGTCAGAGAATTTAGGGGATTTTCTTTTTAAGTATCTCCGAAAAAGATTATCAGATGATATTCTAGGCAGGCTGAGAGATCTTATAACAATTTATTGAATATAGTAAGGCAGGCTTGGGCTTTACAGTGTTGCACTGGATTGTGGGAAATAGTTTAGTATATTATATTACTGTTATTTCCAGCGTTACAACTAATCTCTTCCAATTTGCCTCACACCACAAATTTACCTGCTCATCTACATGATTTCATATGTATAAATTGATAAACTTTTACTAGAATAAACAACACCTGAAAAAGATAAATTATTAACAATGAAATTGATCATTTTTAGAGTGAGGTGATAGGTTTTAAAAGTATCTATTGAGAGATATTTTGTGCATGCAAGTTGAAAATCAATTTGTGGGGTCCGGAGATGGATACAACTTTTTTTTGAGAACATAAAATGTGTTAAGTGTCAGGTGTAACCTCTTGTCAAACTTGAAAGTAAAATACATTCACACCTTAGGAGTGTAACTGCACCATGTATTAGAGACTGTTCCTCATGAATCAAACAAGTGAAAAATTGGAGAAGCTGATGTCAAGCAACTAAAAACCACGGGTCTTGCAGCAAACCTCAACATATTGCAGCTTCTTCTTGATTGCTTTATGATGGATGACTTAGGGATGACACCGGTCTGTGGTGATATAGTGACATGCAATATAAACACTGTACAGCAATAATTCTGCTGAGATTTAATGGTAGTCAATAAGCTGGTTTGAATTATACCCAAAATAAGAAAAACATTCCTGCTAGGATAGTTAATTGTACTAAAACCATATGTTGGTTGCTTCATAAAAGACACCCATATATAATACAAAATGTGATTCTTAAAATAGATACATTCATCTGGCTAAATGTCTCTAATTCCTTTCACAGTAATGGGTTCCTTTAAAGTTTGGTTGTTTTTTAATACTTTTATTTGCTCAAAAATCAGTCCCTTTCTCAGATGCATCACAAACAAACCTAAGAAGGGAAACAGTATATAAAGTATACATTTTAACCTGTATGCAACCTCTTGAAATGAATGAAAAGCTCTCAGTTGTTTTTTGCAGAAATGCGTCCTCCTACTTTTAACTAAATAGCATTATTGCAAGTTTGATAAACGTTTTTCATAGTTAGAGATTATGCCAAAAGGTGGGGCACACATGAATTTTTAGTTTTCTTCAAAACATAGTTGTTTGAACAACATAATTTCAGGCCACAGTGGCAAAAATAATTTGTAAATGTTGATGCTAGAATATAAGAACCACTACCAAAAACATAACACAGTGAAAATGCCTAGATAAGATTTTTTGTTTAGTTCAGAATCTAGCTATACAGAAATGGGATCACTGTGAGATCCACACATTAAGCCTTTATCTTTATATCTAATACTGATGATCCTGCAAGACAAGAATTATTTAACTCTGAGTGCTTTGATAGATTATCTCTGAGTTGGATAACCACTGTTTGTACAATAAGCAGGATGTTAAAAAAGAATGATCCTAGAATGCATTTATAGCTGTAATCTTGGTATTGAAGTATTGTCTCCTTGGGAAGAATAATAAATTAACATGTTTTATAACCCATCCTGAAATAAACAAGTTCTTATGGTAGATGGACAAAGATAAAGCTTACTCTTCTATGCCATATAGCCTAAATGTAACTGCAATTTATGAAATCAGACAGGTTCCAGTTTTTACTGAACTTTTGTCACAAAACATAAATCAGTTACTACTAAAAACAACGAGATATTTAAATTTGACAAGTTTCCAGTGAGAATTTGTTGTACTTTCATTGGCCACTCAAAGAAACACATTGCTCCTTCTACATTGGTTCTGTTTGGTAGAATGTTTTAGAATTTGTTTATCTAACACACACACAGACACAGACACACAGACACACACACACAGACACACAGACACACACACACACACACACACACACACACTTTCTCACTTAACCATACCCTAGGCATTTTGTAGCAGAAATAAGTGTCTGTGGGTATTGAAAAATTGTAAGTTAGTAGCAGACTACATACAAACATGCTTTTTAAAAAAAAGAAAATAATGGAATAAATAATATGAAACTCACCCGATAGTTCACATCCAAGAAGTTCCATTCTCAAAGTGCAGTGTCTTCGACAAACTTGGGGATAGAGCCTTACATACTGAGCTTTTATGGGGGGTGTGAAAGAGTTAGCATAGGGTGTGTTGTTATCCACGTTTCCACGGAACACCTGTATGAAGAGGTAATATAGAGTTTAAAATAATAATTGAGACAGCTTCTTTAGCTATTTTGATAATACTACTCCTTTAGCCTACTCAATTTATTTCAAAGATGGGATTAAATAATTTGGGGGTCTGGAGCATTTAGGAAGCATCTTGCGATCAGCAGTGAATATAAAACCTATAGATAAAAGTACTAATTAAAGCTATAAATCACGGTGGTGTGTGGCATAATCTATACTCTATTATGATGGTCTTGGTAATTTTAAGGCCAGTCCTTCAGAGCCAGGGGAATGTTTCCCTCTCCCTCTTTCTTTCTTTCTGGGCACTTTAACTTAACCTTTTAACTTAATCCGGATCTGTACATTTTGCTACTTAGTATTTCTAGGTTCTTTGTTTGTTTGTTTGTTTGTTTGTTTGTTTGTTTTAGGAACCAGTCTTAACTAGTTCTTCCTGATCATCCAGTCTCTCTAATGCTATGATCAGTCTTATGAAGCTTTAGGGTCTGATGCCTCAGGGTTATTTCCTTATTGGTCAGTCCCAGATCATTGGATAAGAGACTCATAATTCTCTATCATAATATGTCCGGTGAAAAACTATAGTTCCCTCTAAAAATTATGTACTGAAATATGTTATTTTAATTCCTTTAAGTCTCATTCTTATTTTACCGTTTATATAACCTGGTAATCAGAAAAGTTTATTTAAATTCATTGAAATAAGTAATTTAAAAAATCTTTCATAAAATTTATTAAAGTTTATTCTAATAACTTGCTTTTAATGGGATGAGCTGCAGTCCTGATATTTTTTAAATTAAAAGTTTTAAGAAAAAAATTAATAAAAATTGGAAATATCATATAAAAAGGCAGGGGACATTGAATATTATATCCATTTTCTTCAAAATATTTTATACTGACAACTAACAAAATTTTCTTCCAATATCAAGCCTATAAAGGCATATATTTTTTTCTATGACTTGTTGCTTTCTCTAAAAATAATAGTTTTAATCCATAGTTATTTGATTAAGGACAGTGCTATTCTGTCAAAGCAATAAAATGAAATTGAAAGCTGGCTATTGTTAAAATGAAATTTAATTTCACACATAGGACTATGCTAACCTTGTGATAAAGTGTTTATAGGACCACCAGTTAAAATCAGAGAAAATACGAAGGGGTAGCTGCTGTGCACATACAATTTGGAAAAGCTCCCTCTCCCCGCTTCTCCCCACTAGTCTAATTTTAAGAAATTATAAATTAATTTTCAATCACATAAAGCTTCTGCTGAAGACTCAGTAGTCATTTGGTAATCAATGATCATTAATGGGACTTTACTTTTAAATTAGATGTGTTAAGTCAGTCTTACCATGTCTTCATTGGTGCCTTTCTCCTTGTACATTGCCCAAGACTTTCCATCATTACTATAGGCAATTTTGTAGGATTTTATATACTCTGGGCTTCCAATCCTCTTGGCTCCTTGGGTAATCACACCAGTAACTCTCATTTTTCTTTGTAAATTTATCTGAGGAGACAAGGTAACAGTAATTATTGCTTTCAGTATGACAATATTGACAATAATCATTTTGGAAATGGAATATTTTTATTTATTAGTACAGATTTTAAATGCAAAAATCCAATGATTTTTGTATGGTTTTCAGATGAATATTAAATATATATCAAGTTTAGGTTCAACATTTTTCTCTAATGGAATTTTTTTTAATTAAAGCAATATTTGTGAACAAACATTGAAAAGGAAAATGTGCCCCCAAAATATAAGCATAGAAAATATTGGATGGTTATGATATGGAGTAAACTGAAAAATATGAATATCACCTTGTCAAAATGACATTACAATGAAACTCTAATGTCAACATAATAATTAACGTGCCTCAAATGCTTTAGGCTTCAACAAATTTCCATTGAAGTTAAAACATCAAAATCTCCCTGAGATCTTTGAGTACTAGAATAAGAAAAAGTAAAGGCAATAATGATGACAAAAAACAAAACAGAAATATCTTCAGTTTCTGGATCTTTATACTGTAGTATCTGCCACTATGGGTTATGGAGGGTTTTTCAACAAGATGTTGCTTGTCCCTTCATTTCATCACATAGAGACTTTTTAACTGGTATTTTCTCTTCATATTTTCTCCCCATTCCAAATTATCCTACTATAGTTTGTTGCAGGAGTAATGGCCATTCAAAAAAAATTTAATATTCTTCTCAGATTTAAACAGGGGGCTCCTTTTGACAATTAACATATAATAACCATATGCTCTAATGTAAGAAAAATATTTTATTCATATATGGAAAACATTAAAAATTGTTCTATTCACTTTAAAATGCCTTTATGATGCCTGCAAAATCTTAAAATTAGTAGAAAGGTACAGTTTCAATGTTCTTAACAAACTGCTATTAATCTCTACTCTTCATCATTACAAATCAGAAAATTTAAATGACTCATACTATAATATTAATAATTCAGACATAATTTTCCAGAGAAAATTAGAAAATCTTCAGATTCATAGAAGTGATTAGGATTTTTCACTTTTTGGTGAGACTCTGAGAATTAACATTTGAAATGATAGGGGATGTGCATGAAGAAACTAGCCCCTCAATAATCACTGTTCTCTCTCTCTCTCCCTCTCCCTCTCTATCTCTACCTTCATATCACATATTCACAAAGTTGAAAATCAGAACTAAGAAAGCAATCCTTAAAGCTTTCCCACCCCAGACGAAACCCATGACTTATGAAAAGTCCTGCAATGTTTTATTTCCCTGGATTTACAGGTTTTAAATGTGTTATAGCAATCCTGAATCCTGCATACAGGCAGCGCCCTTTCAGGCTTTTGAAAGTTGCCAACATGGCAAGGTCTACCTTTCTCTCCATTCCGAGTTTCCCAGTCTCATCTCCCTTTTCTGAATATCATGAGATTCCTTTCCAACTGGTGCTCACAAGGCAATTCTTGGTCTTCCTTATGCATAAATCAAATGTGGAATTTTGATGAGTTAAAGAACTGGAATGGGGTCATCCCCAGCCTCTGACTGGTGAGCATATCTTCCTTTCACTCTTGCAATGCGGACTTCATAACCAACATTTTTGCTTTTAAATTCTGCATCCGTGGTCCCTTTTTTCTCCAATAATGCTGAGTGAGTTGACTCAGACATTCAATTTTGCTTTTCTCATTTCAATACTCAGACATCGAAATTACTTACATGAGTACAGTCTATGTCCATTTTTGTTAGGAGGCTCAGATAAGAGAAGGTCCCACATGGAGCTAAATTTTACTTATTACTCTAACAATCTTAATTAGCTTTTCAAAGATTGATTTTAGAATTTTAACTGTGAGATTTGGAATAGATAGCCTCTGAAAAATATTTTATTGTAGTATATTAATTAAATTACCATGTAGCTATGGAAGAGCAATATTCTTCCAGTATCTTATGTATGACATTCTTTTTCTTTCTTTAATCTAAGACTCTTCATAGTTTTAACCTTTCTAAAATACACAACATAAACAATGGACAGTTTGAATCATGCCTCTTCCCATTTTGGAAGCCAAATTCTACACTTGATATTACTGAATATTCCTTTTTTCAATTATCTTTTATCTTGTTTCAATTATCTTGTAGACGGACAAATTATCTCTGCTAGAGTTTTGGCTGATGAGCCATAGACTAATTTTCTAAAACTTAAATAGAAGCATAACAATGAAAAAATAAGAATTTGAGTACACATTCCTCTCTAAATCATTAGAAATGATGTTTTAAAAGATTCCTATTTGCTCTAGTATTAAAAGCTTAGGAAGCTGGAACTCCAGATAGTAAAGCAGCACCCAATTTGAGTTATATCTACTTTTAGTAGGTATTTGTAGTTAAATATCAGTGCTGTTTTCATTAAATAAAAATATAAACCAAAAAATTATTTATAGAACACAGGTTCTGGGGTTACTTAGAGTTACTAAGTTTTGAGACTTTTGAGTTCTCATGTATCTAGCACTATTAAGTGTGGATAATAAGGAAATCAATATAAAAGGGCTAAGATTTCACCATTATGGTCATACTCAAATTTAATAGCAGGAATCTACATTGCTGTGAGAAATAAACTAAGCCATGGAACAAGACTTTAGCATGATTTTAGAAACATCTCCACAATAAAACCTGCTGCAAGTAATCCCTTTTTATTCTAATCCAAGATTATTTTGTGATCTCTTGGTAAAATATCATTGGCTCATAGTTGATCTGGCTTTTGTTCTCTTTATTTTGCCTGCATGAACCACCACCCCAGACACTACATTAAAGGTCTATTGGAGAGTGTATCGATAGAACAGAATATAAAATCAATAAACAGACCCCACTATGGAAGGAACTTTTGTATATGAAATAAGTATTATTCAGATCATTGCAGAAAAGATAGAATTTTCAATAGCTGGATTGGGAAAATTTGGTTGACATATTAAATAAATATATTTAATCTGTGACCTTATCACAGAGTAAATTCCAAGTAAGTTGATACTAAATAAAAAAATTAAGAAACCACAAAAGGACCAGAGGAAAACACAGAATTAAAAATAATCTCAGACATGAAAATGACTTTCTATTTGTGGCAGTAGTTATAAAAATATTATATTAAACTAAAAATTTCTTTAAGATAAAAAGCAAAATGAAGTCAAAATACAAATGACAAACTGTGATTGAATTTTTCCAAATCATATCATAGCAAAGGATTGATAAATCAAAGAAATTAAATTTTAATATTAATAAGGTGAAACAAAACAACCCAATAAAAAATAAAATGGGCAAAGGATTTCATTAGCTTACATGAAAGAAAATACATGTGGATCTTAAACATATGAAAAAATATTCAGTCTTACTCCTAATACATATTACAAAAGTTTACCCTATGGCACTATAATTCACCTTTAACATCAGGAAAAAGGAAAAGAAATAATAACACAATATTAACAAAGTGTAAAGAAATAGGCAAGCTTGCACATTCCTGGTGGGGGTATAAATGACAGCTTTTATGAAGGAAAATTTAGTGACATGAAACAAAATGACAAATGAGCATTTTCTTAAACTTAGGAACTTTTCATTCTAGAAATGCAGTCCACAAGTATAATCACACATAGGCAAACTGATGTAGGTACAAGGTTGTTCCCTACTGCGGTATCCATAATAGGACAAAATTTAAAAAAAATGTAAAATGTCTATTAGTAGGGGTCTAAGTCATTTCATTATGAAAAAGTTCAGAAAATAAAATACTATTCAGCTGTTCAACACAAGAACAAGAATGAAGGAGGGAGGGGGAGAAGGAGAGAAAAAGGGAGAGAGAGAGATCTTAGCGTAACATATAAAAAATTACTGCTTGTCAAGTTTTGGTACTGTATCAAAGAACTGATTCTACAATTATCTGGAAATTATGTGCACAGGGCTCAAAAGACTTTAGCAACAGAACACTGTGTATTGTATACTTCTGCACATACTACTGTAAAGGGCAAATAAAACACATGTATATTTTCTTGTATAGGTTTATAATATCTCTAAAAACAAAAACAGAAACAAAAAGTTCTTCAATAGGAGGTAGACAGCTGGGGAGAGAAGTAGGATGAAGAATTTTGAAAATACACTCTTTTGGGTCTTTTGAAATTTGAAATATGTAGATGTCTTACCTATCTTATATTGAAAATATAAATAAAATTAAAGTAAAAATATGATTGATAAGATGCTATTTAGAATAGCAAAAGTAATGATAAAATATCTAGAAATTAATCTAATAAACAATTGATGACCTTATGAGAATATTTTTAACTAAAAGATATAACAGAAGACCAGCATAATTTTAGTAGATAAGACAGCATAATCAATTTGTTGCCTCAATTTTGTTTGCAAATTCTGTGCAGTTTTCATCAAAATCTGGAAGGATACTATTGTATGCTGTGATAAATTCATTCTAAAAATCTGTAGTTTTATTTTAAATTATACAATGAAAAATAAACTTTCATTAATAAATAGCTAAAGGATATTCCTGGAAAAGATGTAAACAATGGGGGGGGGAGTTTTGCCATATATTAAGGCATTACAAGACCATTTTAATGAAAAATAATGTGGTACTGGCACAAAGACTGATAAATATCCATGTGGAATTCAAAGGAAAATCCAGGA